AACCTCTTCACTGCAATCATTCTGTGCAAACTCTAAAACTACAAACAGAACTCTCATGTGTTCTGAAGTAGCCTGGATAATCACCTATGTCCCTGCCTCCGCTCTGCCCGACTCTCCAGCACATTCCAAAACTACAAAATACCAACGCATGTGGACCAAAATACCTCCCCCGCTTTTTGGATGTCTTCTGCGCTCCTAGCTTCCTGCCTACTTCTTTCACTTCACCGTCAAAGTTCCAAGGCGAAGCCAGTATGTGGAAAACGTCGTTCTCAGAATCAGAACAAAACTGACGGATGGAGTCGCCATGGAGTCGCCATGGAGTCTTTCCTTCCTCTGGGTGAAACGTGCGAGATTCGTGAAAGAGAAATGTATGCACGACTTCCAGTTCAAAAGCATACACTGCTTCGATTATGAGTCAGCAGAGAGTTTCCAAAAATACGGTTTTGAAGACCTGATGTGTTCTGCTTTTCGGTTTTGGGTCAACAATTCGATAACTTATGTGCCTATGCTCCCAGCCTTTCACAAAACTCCCTTCTTAATAGTGATCTTGCTCTTCGAAAAGTCTTGCAAGACAGGTGATGGTTTCGAGAGTAAGATTGGAGAAATGAGTGATCGCACGAGACACACCTGTCGATGATGATGACGATGATCATCATCACCGACGCATACATCCTCATGGCACCAACACATAGTGTATTCATCCATTGTTCTAGTATATATCCATAACAAAAAAATGCTCTATATGCCAAAGCACCAAGACACGCAGCCTTAATCGACTCCCCAACTCCACATCATCACCGGGTATACCACGCTCAATTCATACAAGCACTGAACATATCGCTTCATCCCAGCATCTTCTTCCACACATCCTTCACGCGTTGAGAATAAACCAGATGCATCCATTCCTGAATCATGTCCTACAACTCGTCGTGCGCATCCGGCTCAGGCATCTGGATAGGCTCGGTTGGCCTACCGAGTTCCTCATCAATGCTAACGCCCTTCTTGGCGCGATACTTTTCCCACACGCTCCAGAACTCCTTCTCCATGCTCTTGTCCATTTGGTCGGGGAGGACGACTATGTACTCGACGTGCAGGTCACCGTATTGCAGACCCTCGTGGGTTTCGAGTTGTTGGGCCCATACTGGCATGCCCTCTTCCTTGACGATTTCAACCATGTTGGGCTGAACGACTTCGCCGCGTTTGCGGGAGAGTTGGACAATGTGGCCGTCTAGGTGGGTGATGTTACGTGTCCAGCCGCCCATCCATGCCTCACGGAGGGAAAGGACTTCGCGCCAGAAGAGATCTTTGCCCCGTCTTCGGAAGAAGGTTCCGTCTGTGCGCTCGTGGTTCTGTTCTCCCATGGCGGGCTCTGCCTCGACGAGGTGGACAATGAGGTCGCCAGCGACATAATCGGGGCTCTCGTCTGCTTCGTTCTCGTAGGTGATGCGTACGCCCTTTGGCATGCCCTTCTCAATCTCGAGATCGTGTGATTCGGCTTCGCGGATAACTCTGCTACCGTGGCAGACGGGGCAGGGCTTCTTGATCGTCTTTCCTTTGCCGTGACATTGGTCGCAATGGACCTGCACTTGCTGGAATAGGCCGGGCGCGAGTTGTTGTCGCTGAATCCTGATACCACGTCCACCGCATGTACCACAAGTCTCCACGTGTCCATCTTCCGAGCCTGAACCCTCACAGGCCGAGCAAATCGCTTGCTTCTCGATTGTAAACTCCGTCTTTCGGCCGTTGTAGAAGTCGCGCAGGGGCAGTGCGACCCGCACTTCCATGTTCGGTCCGCGTCGTTCTCCGCCCTGGTGTCCAAAGTGTCCTGAGCCGCCGAAGAAGCGCGAGAAGAGGTCGAAGGGATCGTGCTGGCGTGGACCACCGCCTTCCTTGTGTTGCTTGATGCCATCGTGGCCGTACTGGTCGTAGATCTTGCGTGTCTCTTTCTTGCTGAGGACCTCGTAGGCTTCGGCTATCTCGACAAACTTCCCACTTGCCTCATCGTCGCCACTGTCGAACGTTAGAGATGTGAGCTGATATGATGGGTTTACGAACGTACGGGTTCTTGTCTGGGTGGAACTTCTTGCTGAGGGTTCGATAGGCTTTCTTGATCTCGCGCTCCGAGGCATCTTTCTTCAGGCCAAGTAGCTACAGTATCACGTTAGCAAGTGCACTTCAACTTGTAACTGAGGCGGAAGTACAGATGTGTACAGATAACGCTTTTACATACCTTGTAGTAGTCCTCTGCACCAACAACGATCAGCGCCAGGAAGGCGACCAAAAAGAACAGCGCCAACCGTGGGAGCATTTTGTCCTATGAGTTGCGCCAACAGCGGTGTTGGAGTTGCGAAAGTGAGTGGACGGAATAAAAGTATCCGAGATAAATGCAGGAGCGAACTTCTACATGGGGTTCGCGTGTGGAACTCAGGTACGAGCGACCCCGAAAAGAAAGAATTGGGGGAGTGAAAGCGGAAGGGCGACTTGGAATGTGAAAGTGGATGTTGCGAATGGGACACGATAGCAGTAACGTAGATTATGCGGCCAATCGGAGTTAAGCCTTGGCATTACCGACTTCACTTTTCATGCGAAGCATTTCCCACGCGACGACGGTCAATTGAGGCTGCACCACCCCACACGCCTCCGACACGCGATTAGATAATTTACAAGGACGCATTGAGTTGACGTCTCCATATACATATCCTCAGGTCGACCTTGGCGTGCGCAGCCCGCGCTAGCAAACCTCCGCAAGACCTCCGCAACCACCACACACCAACCACGCCTCGACTCCACACCCACCACCACCCGCCATGGCGTCGATAGCGACCAAGGCGATAGCCGGAAAACCAATTGTGCCACCATGTTTCACAAGCCAGAAAGTCGGCGTCGTAGTTTCAGCAGGCAAGATGGCGAGAGCAGTCCGAGTGCGCGTCGCAGAACATGAATGGAATAAGAAGTTTAGGAAGGTGTGTTGGCACGACAATCGCACATTTGCCCATAGCAGTGCTGACGAACAAACCAGCACTTCCCAGCCCCAAAAACATACATAGCCCGCGACCCCAACAACTCCGTCGTCGAAGGAGACATTGTGCGCATAACATCCGGCTACCGCACCTCCAAAGTAATCCGCCACGTCGTAACCTCCATCGTCGCGCCCTTTGGCGAGCCCGTCGAAAACCGACCCCCAGTCCTCACCCAAGCACAACTCGACGAACAGCGCATCAAAGAGCGGTTATTGAAGGACGTACGGTCAGCGGAGCGGGGCAGGCAAGCGAGTATCCAAAGACTGGCGCTGGCGCGGAAACAAGGCTTAACAATACACACATTGGCCGAGGCTATGGAGGGCATGAGGATACATACCGAGGCGGAAAAGGCACGGGCTGAGGCGCATGGCGGACAGGCTGGACAGCAAAAGACGGCGAAGGAGAGGCGGTTGGAGCAGGGCAAGAAGACGAAGGCGGAGGTTAAGGCGGAGAGTAAGGTCAAGAATGCGAGGAAGCAGACTGCCTGAGGTAGTTGGGAAGTGGGAATTGTAAAACATATTGTGTATACATCAGACGCATTCAAGGCCGCCTGCATGGTGAGTTGTGGCAGCGCATGGCATACGCTTTACGATGTCACTGATTCTCAGCATTACTACGGTGATGACTACACTAATCAAGCAGCCCTCACATATATCTTACAGCGCTTTCTCCTTCTCCATGGGTATACAACGGGACATCTTCTGTTTCGTAGCTCAGCCCAACACCGAACTGACACTCAAGCCAAAACTCCAGCTCCCACGGCCAGGAGAGCTACCGCCCATCCCACCAGCCTCAAAGAAGCTCTATCCCCACTCGCCTTACCTAATACCAGTCAGTCAATCAAACATTTCACACGCATCTCATCAAGTCCCAACATACCTTCCCCATCCCCCGTCTGCACCGCACTCCCCACGGCCGTCGTACTCTGCGCCACCTCCGCCGCCCTCGTCCCATTCGGCCCCTCTATGTACTCCAACCCCCTTCCCTCCCCTCCATAGCACACCTGCACAACCTTGAAGTGATCATCCGTCTTCGCCTGCGGATAAATCTCCTCGACACACTCCCTCCACTCGTCGGCCTGCCTCGACGAAGTCTCGCAGTAAAGCATGCAGTCCTGCCACATTTTCACCTCAGCCCCCGGTTTGCAGCACGAGGCGAGGTAAGGGATCGTTTTGTTGCTGCTGCCGGCGTCGATGTTGTACGTGCAATACATGCCGGATACGTCGCTGAAGAACATTTCTCGGGATACGGAGGGGTGGCAGGTTAGGGGCGTTGCCAAGGGGGTGCCGGATATTATCATCTGTGTGCCCGAGGGGGCGAGGGAGGAGGTTGGTGTGGGGAACAGGAAGGTGTCTAAAGAGGTGAGGGAAGACATGGTTGTGTGGGTGAGGATGTTTCGTTGTATTCTTGAGGCAGAAATGTTTTCGTGGATCCGAAGTCGTGCGGGAGATATGTAGTATTCCGTCTTTGTTTGATCCGTACCTAACCTACTTTCACCTTTCCCTTATACTCATCCCATCCACCGGCACCAGCGGCACTTTATCCACTTTTCTTCTTCTACTACTTTACTCAAGCAATGCCCATCCCGAGGCTCTCATCTAACACCTATACCAACCATGCCACCAGAAGACTTTTTCCCCACTTCACCGACGCCTGGGCCCCTTTTAACTTTCAATCTTCCTCGCGTAGTTGTAGTCGTACGAAGAGCCTCACCACGCGTAACCCATTCTAGTCAGGCGCCCGACATGCCAAGAGCTTTTGGCAGGGAGCTAGGACAAAAGAGGGAAGATCCAGGGCAGTAAGGCGTGCCAATTTAGACATACGGGAGATTTTCTTGACGGCTAACGGGAAGGGAACACGAAAATGACGCGCTGTGGCTGTGTTATGAGGCACTGCATTTTGTACATTGGTAAAATAAACGAACATCCATAGAACCATTTCTTCTAGGTATAACCATCTTCCCCACCATCAACACCCCCCTCACACAAACGGCAAAACAACATGACTACCAAACTCCCCACCCACATGCACCACATGCGTCCCCTTATTCCTCTCCTCAAGCTCCACCTTCTTCCTCGGACCAAACTCCTGCACAAGAGGATATTCGCCACTGACCTGCACACTGATCCCCTCTCCAGCCTCGAAATCAACACCCATAGCCCACAGCCCTATCTCCAACTTCACCACCTCGCCTGCTGGTATCTTTTGCACTTCGTCGTGTGTATGGAAAGGATATTGTGGATGGATAGACTGTGAGGGATCGGTTTTACGGTGGGAGGCGCGGAGGACGCCTGTGGGGCCGTAGTAGATCATCAAGTTCGAGTAATCGGACTCTGGGATTTCGGCGGCAGATTTGTAGGGCGCAGCGGACCAGGGAATGTTTATGGCAATCATGGGTTTGCCGTTTTTGTCGAGTTTGCGGATCAGGACGTAGACGATCATGTCGTTGAAGTCGGGGCAGGACATGTATAAGACGGCTTTGGGGAGGCCCATTAAGCGGGTAGGCTTGTCGAAGGTCATTGTGAAGGCTGCGTGGGAGACAGGGGAAGTGTTGCTTTCGGAGTTGTAGGTTAAGGTGCCGGCCGTGCTTGGGGCGGTGGCTTCAAGCTTATTGTCGGCGGAGAGGTAGAGGGTGCGGTAGTCTGTTCGTGGGATGGGGAAGTCTTCTTCGATGATGGGGTAGATGGCTTCTTTGTCGCCGTAGTTGAGGGAGGACATGCGTACGCGGGGTGTATTTTCCCAATCATTCTTCTCGCCTTTTAGGTACCGGTCGAAGAAGGAGGCGAGTTCGTCGATGGATTCTTGGACGGCCCATAGATCGTACCACTCTTGATACGGGTCCCATCTTAACCACTTGTCTTTTGTGTCGATTTGCATCCAGCCGCGTATCGAGCCCATGGTATGCACGAAACTGGAGTAGGACGCGACGATGTATGTTGGGATCTTTATGCTGGCAATGTCGGCGCGCTTGTCTGCCCAGTAGGGGTTCATGGTTGAGGAGCGACGGTACATCTCTTTGAAGTCTTCGAGTCCGTTCTTGCCCCGGATTACGTGCTCGGTGATGAAGTCGAAGAGCCCATTGTCCCAAGCTCCGCCGCGGACAAATTGTTCGCGGTAAAGATCACCACAGGCTTCCCAGGGTGCGATGGCTTTAAGCGAGGGAGGTTGTGTTGCGGCAATGAACCATTGGACGATTCCGAGATGTGAGTTGCCTGCCAGTCCGATCGAGCCGTTGCACCTGTATCATCGTTAGATCGGTGTTATCCGGAAGACTAGTGCGAATCTTACCAGTCCATCTTTGCGAGCTCTTCGATCACGTCGTGCCCATCCTCGCCTTCTTGCTTTCCCATAATGACAATGTCTCCGTCCGAGTCTCCCGCACCTCTTGCATCTACATTGACGACTGCATACCCCCGAGGAACGTATTCCGCCGGATCGGGTCCTTCGAAGCGCTCGAGACCGCTGAGGCAGCCTTTCGGCACACCGCAACCCCATTTTACCTATAATGTGTCAGTCTTTGCTATACCCAAAAGTCTCTTTGTAGGGTGAAAACAAACCTTCGACATCATATCAATACCCGTATGTTTCTTGCCAAAAGGACTCCAGGCCACAATCGCAGGCACTTTCTCACTCCCATCGCTACCGACTGGCCGGTAGATATCGCAGTACAGCATACACCCATCTCTGACTTTAACAGCAACATCGTGCTCAGCAATCATGTCTTCAGAAAGTGCGCGGGCACCATCCCGACTTTGGTACCCCTTGCGAAGAGTCTCTTTGCGCGGATTGAAGCCTTGGTAGCCATTTTCACCCACCTTGGGCGGCTTGACAGCCAGATTGGCGACCTGAAAAGCGAGAGGCATGATTGCAGTATGAAAAGAGCGGACAAAGAAGTTGTTGCGAGTAACTTGCAGCAACATGGGAAGGAGGAGGCCGCATCGTGGTTTTGAAAAGAGCGTATTGTCGCCGGTGGACTCCGTGGAAACCGCCCGACCGTTCTCGGCCGCGACACTTCTACCGAGTGACCTGCCTTTGTAAATCTACACATGGCTTTCGAGGTGTAGCGTCGGCATGTGGAGCGTTTCGAGATGCACATGCACGCTAAGGCTCGCCCGATCTCGACCGTGATGCAGTGAGCCGCAGGGTCCGCCCCACAACGAAGCTTGTCTGTCCCCGCAGCGAGCGGCCGTGGACGGGCGAGCCGGGGTAATGTGACCGAGAGGATTGTAGAGGGGTGTGAGGTATATCAGTGGAGGAATATCTTGTGCCATCAACTCCCATTCCATTAGCACCATTTCTCACTTATCAACTCATTGCATTGCGATAATGGCACCCTTCCTCGACGACAACGAAAACACGAGCACTGCTCAGCAAAAGTACGGCGACTGGCGGGATGACTTCTACGAGAAGGGCTATGTCGTTCTCAAGGGCGTCGTGCCCAAGGAGCGAGCTCTGAAGTACCGCAACAAAATGATGGACTGGCTCGGTACTTTCCCCAACGACTTCGATATCAACAAGCCAGAGACATGGACCAAAGAGAATCTGCCCCAAAGCTTCAAGAACGGCATGTACCTCAACTACTGCGCTGCACACGAGAAGTATGTTTGGGAGGCAAGACAGTGAGTACCCCTCTTCGCAAATGACGCGCCAATCTTGGTGACTGATGCTTTTGCGAATAGAGAACCAGGCGTTCTAGCTGCGTTTGAGAAGCTGTGGAACACAAACGAGCTCATTGTGTCATACGATACCATCAACCTCACACTGCCGAATGCTGGCAAAATGGCTGGCAGCAAGCCGTGGCCGCACGTCGACCAGGCACCCGAGCGACAAGGCCTGTCGTGCGTCCAGGGTATCATCAACCGTACGTCAAGACTCCTTTCTCCGAACCATTCTTAAGTCAAGACCATTCTTAAGCACCCTGCTAACACCCCCTCAGTCTCCGAGGCCGGTCCCAAAGACGGCGGCCTCGTCGTAATGGAAGGATCAGCCAAGCTCTTCGACAAATTCTTCAAGCAACACCCTCCGGACCGAACCAAGGGCCCCCTCGCCGCTCTCCACTACGACTTCTACCCCTTCCAAGACACCGACGTAAAGTGGTACGAAGACCAAGGCTGCAAGATGGTCAAGGTCTGCGCCGAGCCTGGCGATCTCATCCTGTGGGATTCGCGACAGATGCACTACGCTGTGTACCCCGAGACAGACAACATCCGCACGATTATCTATGCTTGCTACACACCAGCAGCCATGGCGTCCAAGGAGGATCTGGCGAAGAAGAAGGAGATCTTCGAGAAGTGGGAGGCGACTACACATTGGCCGCATATCAATATCCATTCGCAAGGGAAGGCCAAGGTGGATGGAGAGATTGATCCATGGGAGCGGACGGAGCCGCTTGAGAAGCCGGAGTTGACGGATAAGCTGCTTAAGCTGGCGGGTGTGAAGCCGTATTGAGAAGGGCATGGTGTATGACTTTCCCTGGTAGAGGCAAATTTGTATAGCGTTGTATAGAAATCATTCACATTTGAGCAAACACTTCGTCCCAGTCGTCAAAGCCGTATGTTGCATTGAGTGTGCTGCCAATCCCATCAAACATGTCGATATTCTCGTAGTTGCCATGGTGGGCAAAGCCGTCCATTGGAGGCGCCGAGTTGGATAAGTCGTTGGTGTTGCTGTGATCAGCCATCGACAGCTGCTGCAGTAGTTCGTGTATCGTACGTGACGTTCCAGGAAGCTCAGTGTCGTGTCGTTCCAGCACGGGCAAAAGTCCCTCAAGTACAGCCGAGCCTTTCGCTGCATGGACAGCAACGGCAGAGTGCTTTCTCAGCTCAGTAAATGCCATTCTTAGAAGGTTGATGATTCGAAGTTTTGCGTCACCTCGATAGTCATGCGGGTTGGCAAGCATGTCTAAGGATACGTATATAGCAGCTGCGACTGTTGACGCAGATATAACCCAAACTAACCTGTAAACCCTAGGAACAGGCTTCGCGTAGTAGCTCAGAAGATTGTTCGCCGACTGGAGGGCCAGCTGTCTGAAGTTTGGGTCATCATCTGGATTCTCCGGTGACAATACACGAGCGATGGTCAGCAATAAGAAGTCAATAACGAAGTGGATCTGATAGCGCTGGAATGGTATCCAAGGGTACTCTAACTCCCATATCCGGTCGTCTTCATTGGCTGGAAAGTTTGGCGATAGATGCAGAGGCAGGTCTCGTCGAACAGTCTGAACCTCCTCGATGGCTTTGATGAACTTCAAATTCGTCTGGTGTGTGTTGGCTTTGATGTAGATGTAGACTATGTAAGAGACACGGCACATGATTGAATGGTAATGAGCCGGTGAAGGAGTAGCAAGATTTCCAGACTCGAAAGAAGCAGGACTATCAGCCATGGGTGTTCTGGGTAGTATGTAGTCGTCCTGGCTGGTGATGGTCGATACATGGCAGCAAAAGCTGGCGGGGGAAATTGATGGCGGTCGAGACCAACTTCCAAGCCTAGAGAGGGTCAGTCAGATCGATTGTGCCAAAGCGTACGTGGCCAGTACTTACCAATCCCGGATAACGCAAGCCCACCACAACCGACGGCCCATTTCTCGCTGCGAAGGTGATGACCATTCCGGTCTTTTGCACAGATCTTTGGAGATGTTGACTTCATTCCCTAGCTTGTGCATATCAAGGCATCTAGCCATGTTTGTCGCAAATCCGGTGATGAGCCACTCCCGCTGGTGTTCACCAAAGTTTGAATGACATAACGTCAGCACCGACAGAGCCTGAACAACAGGGAGAGAAGGTGAGCCTGCAAACCCATACCTCTCCAACTCTTTCAGCGCAGCCTCATACCAGAGACGAGACGTATGTACTGCAATAGAAACAGGATTGTCCAATGGCATTCCAAGTTGAGGTAGTTGGTTGACATCGGGTATTTCGTCTGGGTTGGAATAGAGTATGCCCACAGCCAGGACAGCAAGGTAGACAACCAGCCAAGGTCTCCGTGCGCGATCGATGCCAGCACCGAGCTGCGTACTCTGCCAGAACTCTTCATGTTCTCCGAAGAACAAATCGGCATCCACGGCGCAGTGCAGCCAACCCAGCGTTTGGAGCGAGAAGGTAACGAGTTGGATACTAGCGTCTTTACTGGGAAGAAGCAGATAGATGGGATCCGCAGCAGGTTCGTAAAGTCTATCTATGAGATCCTTCTCGCCACCTTCACGCGCAGCATTGGTCGTGATACCGATATCGAACTGTTCAAACGCCGGGATCAGGTCCTCCAGGGAAGCCGACTGTGCAGAATAGTCCGTAGACTCGCTGGTGCGGCTATGAGCACACGGCTTCGACAGCGCAAGAGCGGTCTCAAGTTCAGCAATCTGGGCGCGCAGGGCGCCTCGTTCGCGCAGGAGGTCCTCGAGTTGCACATCCTCCGCGCTGCCAGCCTCGGAGTCGGCGTAGACGGTTAGCTGTCCCCTGACGCGGACGATCGGCCGGCGGCAGGAGTTTCCGGCATTGCGGCGCACGCAGGGCGCGCAGGGGGATTTCTTGTCGCAGCGGATTTTGCGACGGCTGCACTCGACGCACGAGCGGCTCACGCGCTGCGATGTCTTGATGCCGGCTTCGCTCATGGTGCGTGAAGGTGACGTACGTGGTGTGGGTGGTGAACATTTGCCGAGGAGCTTGAGGCTCAAAATGTCCCAGGCCTGTAAGTACACGGTACGCGCGTACCCCGCATGTCTCGTCTCGTGTCCCCCATGTCGTTCCCAGCTTTTCCCCCTGCCTGGACCGGGCTATCCCCACACCTGCATTCGGCTTAGCCCGCGCTCCCTCCACAATCCGTTCGCATACTTATTGGGCTGCGCGGCCCAGTGCGGGCGAGGTCCGGGGTTGCACTGCGCTGAGAGTCGTGTTCCAAGTCACGACGCAGATGCCATGGCGCTGGTAGCTGCGTCCACTTCGGACCTGGAGGTGTACAAAATCTGGGGAATGCCTCTCTGTTTCGAGGCATCAGCGGTTGTCCATCATGGCGCTTCACGACTCCAAGAACGAAGCCAGCGCTCACATTGAGATAGTCGATGCCCACAAGAAAGCTGCCAGGCCGGTGGTTGGCACTATCAGGCTGTACGACGAGGATGGCATTGTGCTGATCCCAACACCAAGCAGAGATCCCAATGGTAGCTCCAACCCATCAAAACCATCAAGATGAGAACCGCTAACGGACATAGACCCTCTAAATCTTCCGAAATGGCAGAAATACATCATCCTGATCATCGTCGGCCTCTACGCTGCCACCGGAAACCTGATGGCCAGTGGCATCACCGCCATCCTACCCATCGTACAAGCCTCATACGGCGGAGACCCAAAGACCAGCGACCTCGCAACCTGGCCAGCGTTCTATATGGGCGTTGGTAACCTCCTCGCGATCCCCGTAGCCCATGCCATCGGCCGCAGGCCCGTCTATCTCATGTCGACCATCGTGCTCTCCTTCGGCTGTCTCTGGTGCGCCTACAGCGGAAGCCTGGAATCGCACATCGCAGGCAGAGATGTCATGTCGATTGCTGCCGGTCAAGCTGAAGCGCTGTGCCCCATCATCGTACAGGAGATTTTTTACCTGCACGAGAGAGGCCATGTCATTGCGTGGTTCTGTGCGCTGCAGACGCTTGGTACAGCTGCACTCATCGTAGCGAGTTCGTATCTCGCGAATGATCTGGGCTGGAGGTGGTGGTACGGCGTGTTCGGATGCCTGAGCGGAGCTATTGCAGTCCTCAGCATCATTTTTGTCGCGGAGACTAAGTACGAGCGCACGCTTGAGGCACTGAGTAAGTCGACCTACACCACATAATCCAGGACACATACTAACACGCCCCAGACGGCCAAGGCATCGATGAAGACGGCACCCTCGTCCCCGTAACAACAAACACCAAGCGCCCCCTCGACACTGTCAACTATGCGCCCCGCAGCTTCGTCAAAGACATGCTCCCCTGGAAAGGCCACGCTCACTGGTCCGAAGCAATCTCCTGCTGGAAGCAAATGTTCCAAATCATCTGGTTCCCCAACATCCTCTGGCTCATTCTCATCAATTCCGCCGCCCTCGGTATCTACGTCCTCATGTCCGCCCTCTTCGCCGGCGTCCTCGTCCAACCGCCCTACCTCTGGAACTTCGATATGTTGGGCTATGTCTTCGCGGGACAGGTCGCGACAGCCGTTGCAGTCCCGCTCTTCTGCGGTTCCCTGAGCGATTTGATCGTCAAGACGATGAGTAAGAGGAATGATGGTGTGAGTCAGCCGGAATACCGTCTCCTCGCTCTTATCATCCCGCTGGTGTCTATCCTCATCTCGACCATCATCTACGGCATGACCGCACAGAATCCCAACAACTGGAGCTGGGCTGGCATCGCCGTCACGCTCAATGTCGAGTACTTTGGTTTCGTCGGTATTGTCGTTTCCAGTTTCGTGTACTGCATGGATGCTTATCCTCAGCGCATCGATGCTGCGCTCGTTCTCATCTGCTCGCTCAGGGGCTTCATTGGCTTTGGAATCTCGTTCGGGTCGATCGCTTTCGTTGAAAAGGCTGGGTATGAGGGTGCGTTCAATATCTGCGGCGGCATTGTGGCCGCACTGATGTTCTTGGGCATCTTTGTTTATCTGTTTGGCGAGAAGATCCGCAGTATAACGCAGAAGTGTGCTCAGGATGAGTAGATGGCGGATTGCGACGATCGAGTAGAGGATACAGCCACCTTGAACGTATTAGTGTTCCTGAGTTGAACAGCGCTGCTTCTTTAGTTATGAGAAATGAGAATGAATCTGCATTTAACCCAATGACATCGCTCTATGCTTCCGTTAGCAGTCAACCATGCGGGATCAGACTGACTCAAATGTATCATAATGTACGATCGTTATTGAGCAAAAGTATATTGAACATGCTCTTGACCGTATGGAAGGGTATCGCAATAACTCATTGAGTCGCCGCTCTGTAAATGGCCAAAACTCCTGTACTATGCCCATGCCGTTATACGCCTTCCATGCTATTACTCATACATCGTCATCGGATAGACGTGATTGATGGCGTCAATCCTCTACAAACTCCTCTTTCATGTCGTCGTCCAACTCATGTTCTTCGTAAGCGTTCACTAGGAAAGGGTGGTGGAGCGCTTCTTCTGCTGTGATGCGCTTTGCAGGATTGCATTCCAGTAAGCGGTGCAGGAATTGAACTGCCTCCTTCTCATCCTCATCCAACTCCCTCTTTGGTTGTGTCTTGTCGCCTGTGCGGCCTGTGCACCAGAGTATGATCTTCTCCAGGCTGTGCCCACCTTCGCTGTAGCTGGGTACATTGGTCTCGAATACCTGGCCGTGCAGGAGGGCTGTCTCTCGCATCTTCTTTCGTCCGAAGATGGTTGTGATTTCGAGGAGCGCATCGATGTCGTCTGCACTGTGGAAGAACGGGAAGCGCTTCGAGAGCATGGTCAGGAG